GGCTCAGGAGCGCGGCCCCGCACCTACCGCCCGACCTCGGCCTCTCCCCGGGGCATCCTCGCTCCAGCTGTGCGAGCACTGCAGGGTATATTCGATGGGTAGCTTTTCTTTCAAAAGTAGAAGGTGCAGTCAATTTAGTATACCTTGCACTTTGTAATTACTTTATATAAAAGGAGTCAAGTTTCTAACTCCCCACAGAACAAGGCCACAGTCATTTGTCTGTAATTTGAAAACTGTGATTCGAGATTTTGACTTCATAAAATTGTTCACAGACGGGGTAAACATAAAAGATAACATAATTTCTTCCAAACCGAAAAGACAAACAGTTTTACTTTTTAAAGGAAAATTTTTCTAAATGATAAATACAAGATACGGAAATATCCAGCCAGATAATTTACCAGCAGCTTTGAAGATAATAAACAAATGCTGTTACGGAAGCAAATCCATGAGTGTCACATGCCATTTTTGTTTAAACTCAGAACACTCTTCCGCTCAGTCAAATCCAGAACAAATGTGCTGGGATGTGAACAGAAGAGAGGGCTCCCGTGTGTGTGTCTGCACAACAGCGAGGAAGCAGCCTGGGCATCGCTCTGTGAACCCAGCGTAGGTGACAGTGACAGTCGTATTTGTCACCTAAAGGTAGGACAGGAGATCGACAGAGAGTGTGGGTCTCGACACGGCAGGCACTGTGTCAGCCTCTAGAAAGAGCAGGCGCTCTGTTCAAACGGAGGCCGGTACGAGCCAGGCCCGAGGCTGCTTGGCAGCACACAACTCGCAGCTTCCAGCGGAGCTGCAGGTTGGACCGGAAAAGCCGGGCCGCCACCTAGAGACGAGCCTGCACTGGGACCAAACCCCGCAGGTTGGAAACAAGGAGAATCCACAGCCCCGGGCCCAGGGGGTGGGGTCTGGCGGGGGCTGCCCAGTGTGGGGGCCCTTGGGCAGCAGCAGGACGGCTGGCAGCTGCTGGGTGCCCAGCAGGGGACCCAGCAGCCACTGTGGAGAGAGGGACCCCATGGACAGGGGCTGGGGGAGCGGAGGCCCCTGCTGGGGACCAGGTTGCTGGGGTGGAAGGAGCCGCAGGAGGAGCCCGGACAGCCCAGGGCACCCCCATGGGCGCCAGTGGGGCAGTTTCCAGTGTGGCAGCGGGGGGCATGTTGAGGGATGTGACTTATCATAAGGAGATTCTGAGTCTGAGAGCCACTCTTGGTCTGGGACATTTATATTCCCTGGTCACTGGGTGTGTCAGCGGCAAAGCGCATAAAAACAGGTCACCTTCTGCTTCTCACGAAGTTGAAAAGACCATCCCCGTCTTTCCCGCGTGGTGTTTGTGGGTTTACGACTGCAGATGGCGTCAGGTCTGTGGCCCGGAGGCGGGCGGTCCGGTCGGACCTTCAGAGCTGCCAGGCCTCTTGCCCTCCCAACTCCGGAAGCTCCCCGGGCAGGTCACTCGGGGAACAATGGCTTTAGAGGCCGGCAGGGGCTGGTCTGGGGACGCCAGCGAAATTTGAGGTGATCGGTACGCCTTTCCCAGCTGGTCTCAACGTTGCGGCCATCCGGAGAGCGCGGCGCCCAGGGACCCCATCTCCGTCACCGCCTCCCAGCAGCAGCCACAGCAGGTGGTGGCGGTGGCGGTGGCCAGGAAGCTCAGGGCTGCTTTACAATCGCAGCTGCAGGGTGATGTGCCAGCCCCGGTGGGGGGGGGGGGCTCTCCGATCAGGTCTCAGTGGTAATGGATGGCCTCAGTGAGAAAGGAGCCGCGGCGTCCCCCCACCGCCCCTCCCTCCCCCGCTCAGGGCTGTCTGCACACTGGTCCTGGGCCCTCTCAGCTCTGCTCCTTGGTGCTCGTGGTGCCAGGAATTAAAGGTCACGACAGGCTTTCTGCCGGTTCAGATGTGAGAGCTCACCCATCCGAGCCGCTGGAAGCAGCCGTAAACATTAGGGGTGCAAACACCCTGTGGGCTCTGACCTCTGACCGGAGTCCGTCTCGACCTCTAGAAGGATGCCCAGACTCTGGAAAATGCTCTTGTTCCACAGGAACTTTGTAAGGTAATGACCTTGAAGTTTGGGACCGAAGGAGCCCTCCTGGGGAGAGTCTTCCTCCACTTAGTAAAGCAACAGGCCTCACTCTGGATGTGATGGCTTCCCGGCGATCCTGACAAGTATCACAAAGCCTGTGACTCCGCAGTCCTAGTCCTCTTGCCGGCGAGGGCTCTGCAGCCGGCACGGCAGGGGATGGAGACAGAGCCTGGGCGGAGGGCGGGCTGAGGGGCTTCCACTCCACGTGGCTCCAGGTCTCGGATGGACTCACTTTACAGAAAAGCATCCATTGCACTCCTCACTCAGCACAAGTGTCTGGGGACAAAGACTCTGGTGTGGTTGAGAAGAGAATGTTCGATATTACTTAACAGGATCTCACAATATGCTTCCTTGGAAACCGCGTCTCTAAGACAGGCTGGCACTGAATCAAGGGAGCAAATTCCATTTAGGTGGCCGCAGTATTTAGATGGATGTCTTCCTGTTCACTATTTTAGGGACAGACAAAAGAGGAAGGTTTGGAGTGCATTCTGTTATTCATGATCCAGAAGACAAATAAATAAGAATTATTTATTTTGTAAAGAAAGGACAAAGTGTGCTAACTAATCAGTGAGGGACAACTGAGATGAGTGTGTCTATCCGCGCGTGTGCCAACGATCGGTGGCCCTTCGGTGCGCTGGCCGGAGTGTGAGTGCAGCAAACACTCACCACCTACATTCACTGCACTCAGCGAGGATCTCCGGCTCTCTGCAGACTGGAATCCACCACAACCACACTGGATCGTCCCCGGGTCTCAAGGGGAAATCTCTTTATCTACAGTCCCTCCTTTTGTCATTTTAGCCCAGTCTTCCCTTATCACCTCCACGCGGAAGTCTCCATTCTGCGTGGAATGGGTCTCAGCTCACTTGTGTTGAACGTGAATCCGTTATGGGAGGTGGGTGTCTCCAGGGGCCGCCGCTTCCTACAGGCTGCTGTGAGCCCTGGGGCCCCCAGTTCAGAGCCGGCCAGGGGGCCCCACGAGAGAGTCTAGAAAGCAGCCCCGAGTCCGGTCCCCTGGGCAGAGCGCAGGCGTCTCCATTCCAGGGCCCTAGACTCACGCCGGTGCGCAGGCCGATGCCCCGCCCCCACGTCCGCTCATAAAGCTCATTCATCTGTAGCCATGAATTCTTCAAATGCTTCACCTTTGCGCAGCGTGCGTGGCGGACGTGCTTCCTGACTTCTCGGTTTTCTTTACCCTCCGCTGTACCCTCCGCTGCCCTGTGCGAGGGGACCAAGGGAATGAAGGCCCGTTTCTCCTGTGTCGTACTTACTGTTTCGTTCTCAAGGGCACCACCGTGACCAAAAATCACGTAGGGTGTGTGGGGACGGGGAACTTCCGACCGTTCACTTTGTTGACGGCTTCTCACGGAAGCAAGTCGGCCGCAGAGCGGAGGTTCCTCCGCTTCAGCCTCTTTGCGGGGATTTCGGAAGCCCTCCTACCAACGCGAGACCCCAGTGCCGGATCAGCCACCACGCGGAGAACTGTCTCCTGACCGAGCCCCCCACTTCTGGGTGCATACGTGCAGAAGTCTGAAATGCTGGTCAGAAAAGTTGTGTGCACTTCGTGTTCCTCACGGTGTCACTTACAGTGGTGGGGACATGGAAGGCACCCACATGCGTGTCGGCAAACGAGGGCATGAGAAAGCGGTGGTGGGCGGTGGAACACTACTCAGCTGTGAAAAAGAGCGAAGTCTCACCATGTGCCAGCCCGGCTTTACCTGGAGCACAGGCGGCCCACACAGGGCCCGGGGGGCTGAATCCCGTCCTCCGCCTGGTTTCAACCCGCGGCGGCTCTGAGCTCCTGACCCTAGTTAAGGAGTGGTTACATTCACACAGTCCTAAAGTTACATTTGGCCCTTTGAAGGCAACCATGGGCCTGATGTGGCCCCTGGTGACAGTGAGTTGGACACCCCTGTCCCAGAGGGTGTTAGGCTAAGTGAGATAAGTCAGTGTGAGAAAGACAAATACCGAATGGTTTTACTTGTATGTGGAATCTGAAGAACAAAATGAATGAAGAAGAAGAGCAGAAACAACAGACTGGCAGTCCCCAGAGGGGGCGGGGTGAGAGGAGGGAGCTGGGTGGGCGGTGTGAGGAGGTACAGGGAGGCAGGTACGAAAACCGCCACAGGACCACGGAGTGCAGGACGCAGAATGTGGTCGGTAACACGGTGACGGCGGTGTGTCGGGGGCCAGGTGTGCACTGCTGATGCGGGGGGCACTTTGTCAGGTGTGACCGTCCACCCACGGGGCGCCACGCCGGAACCTAACACAAAGTTGTCATAAACGTAAACTGCCAAAGAAGTAAGTAGACGGCTCCGTGTCCCCAACAGTGCCGGGGGTGCTCGTACTGTAAGGAAACCGGAATTCAGAGGTGTCAGACATTCATTTAGTGTTTCCACCGGGGAGCGCTGTTACCGAGTGAGTCTTCTACAAGGCCCGCGGGTCTGGGAGGTGAACCAGACGCTGAGGAGTGTTTTTCTGTCCTTGCCTGGGTTCCTAACGTGGAGCAAAGTAGGTGCCGCCTGCCAACCAGACACCAGTTTCAGGGCTTTAAACACAACCAGATCACCTCGGCGTTACCCACTCAGCATGACACACCCAAGGCTGGGATGAACAGAACACCAACATCATAGGTACAATTACGCCACAATGAACTCATCTACCCACGCTGGATGAATGAGAAAGGACATTTGTGTTTCATGAATAATTGCTTCGGAAAACTAATGAAATTCTTCTTTGAAAGCCCGTGTTCGTAAAAGAGTCCTTTGAAGGTCAGTGCGTCTCATTTTGCCTGCAGCCTAATTCAGCGTTCTTACCGCGAGGCCCCTGGTGCCACGCCCAGGCCTGAGCATAAAAGCGTCCGGGCGGATGGTGGCACCCACCCCCGACTCCTGGCTTCGACTCGGCCACACTCAGCCTCGCTCAGCATGTCTTGCAGCCTCAGCTCCGGGAACCGCTCCGCCCGCTCCTACCGGCGGGCCCTGCTCTGCCCCGGCTCCTCCTGCGAGTCTGCCTTCCAGGGCAACGCCGTCTACTCTCCGGGCACCTGCCAGCCCGGCCCCTGCCAGCCCGGCTCCTCTCTCTATGGCAGCTGCCAGGACGCCTACTGCGCACCCACCAGCTGCCAGACGTCCTACTTCCGTCCGAGACCCTCCGTCTTCTGCAGCCCCTGCCCATCCAACTACTCCGGGTCCTTAGGATGTGGCCACACCGGGCCCTTTGGCTACGGCAGCCCCCAGGTCCAGTCTCTGGGCTGCGGGCCCAGCTTCTACCGCCCCACTTGCTTTTCTTCCAGGAGTTGCCAGTCCGCCTGCGTCCAGCCAGCCTTCGGCTCTTGCTGTTTTGGACAAAATTACTGAGCACCCTGGGTCATTTCGCGGTGCTGCCTGCGACCTCTGAAGCCAGAACAGGCCTCCGGCCCGAAAGCCGTGACTGCCGACTCCCGGCCTTGCCGAGACTCCTGTCCCAGCTCCTGGAAGCCTGTGACTTGCTGTGGACAAAGCGACCTTGCCTATGACCTTCTCTGAACCAGACGCGTGAGACGGAGCTAACTTGCATTCTTGTGCCAGAGCTCAGACTCGAGTCTGCCACTTTCTAAGGTTCTTCTCTTCCTTCTCTCCTAGCATTTGCTCACATCAGTGTGTTTCAGATAAATACAGCATCCAAAATAAACTCATTTCTCCGAGATGAATCCGCGTTGCATTCGCAGTGTATCTGGCCCACTGGGGAGTGGCCGCCCTGCCTTCGCCCGCGGTCAGTAGGAGGGCCTCTCTCTGTTGTCTGCGTTTTGTATGTTTTAGGGTTGTTTTGCTGGATAGAACATGGGAAATCCAGAGGAGAACTTAAATACATGGCACCCCTTGCATCTTAAGAGACTCATTTCCCCTCATAGTTGCATTTGCTCATCTAACGGCTTCAGAAATGTGTTCTCGGTCCGTCGTTTTTCACGGAAAGGCCTGCAGAGCAGCCTGGTGCTGAGGAGGGACAGGCCCCGCCTTGGGGGTCGCGTGCCGGCCGCGCCCGCCTGCCGTCCCAGGGCCAGGGCGCCTGTGGGGACAGCAATGTTTCAGTGGGGACACGGACAACAAGGGCTTCGAGACAGCAGGCAAAACCAGGGGAAACCATCACTGGCAGTGGGAAGGGCGAGGCGGCCGCCCCTCCCCACCCGTCAGTCTGCGGGTCCTCATGTGTCAGCGGGGGTCCTCTGGGAAAGGCCTGCCCCACAGGGCTTGACACGAGGGTGTGTTGGTGACAGCACTTGTCAGGGAAAGTGGGGGGGCGGCAGGAGGGCTCTGGAGGGCTGTCGGAGCCTGAAGCAGGTCTGAACTCAGGGAAGGGGGGGGGAGAAAGGAAAAGAAGGAACAGGGTGGGGGGGAGTAGAGAAGAGGGGGGAGGGGAGAAAATGGGGTTAGAATAATACTCCTGAGGGTAATTCCAAGAAAGTCTCAGTACACCACCCCTCGAAGGAACTCCCTGTGTGGCGGAGATGGGCCTCCCTTAGCGCCCCAGCCCGGCTCCGTGACAGGGCTCCCCCGACCTTGGCCGACACACCAGAGCAGCTGCCAGACGGCAACTGGAGCTCTGGGTCAGTCACGCGCCCGGCGGTGGGGGCCTGCCCACCCCCGAGCTTCCGCGTCTGAGAATTATTCTGGTCTTACATCAGCCGAAGGAGCTAACTAGTGTACGGAGCAATGATCGATGCACCCATGGAGTTTTCAGAGGTCAGGTTCGATATGCCCTGTTTCACTTACTCTGATCGAAACATTAATTCCCACATCGAGCCCTGTTCGGCAGAAGTCATGGAGCAGACGTCTAACCCTGAACCTGAACGTGAGCGGCTGCTGAGACTAACTGGGTGGTTTAGGTCATCCCATCGCTCACCTTTCCTGCCTTCGTTCACTTCTGTCATGGCCCCCTTTTCTCGTCACGCTCTTCTTTGTCATCTTCATCACCCGCAGGGGCCTGCCCTCTCGCCCAGTGTCCCCTCCTCACCATTCCCACGCCCCATGGCACTCACGTCCTTGGGCTGCGCATTCTTAGTCACGACTGGGCCGTCCTGAGCCTTCTGAGCTAGTCGGCAACACCCCGGCCCCTCCAAGCTAGACACCGGTGGCACCACCGCCAGCTGTGACAACGAAATGTGTCCCCAAACATGCCAAACATCCTCTAGGGACAAAGTTATCCCCCATTTATAACCATTAATTTCTATGAGTATCCTGGCCGTGGCCTGCTAGGGGCGTTCTAAGGTGGGAACCCTGGACCTGTCCCTTATCTGGGGTGAGGGTGGGACAGTGAAGTTCAATGCTGTACTGCTCCACGGGTGAATGAGGGGCCACAGAGGAGGGCTGCCAATAACTGTATTTACGCGCCATAAACCTAAACTGACATGGAGCTGCGACTTGATGAATATAGTCCCCAGTGCACAGGCATACAGCAGCCCTGGTTTGTTCACGTTTGTGATTATAATATTGTGTTTACAATTATGCTGTACTTGTGTTTACAATGACAACGACCTGTTCAGCTACAATTAGAGGGGAGAACGGTGACATTCTGTGACAAACTTCACAGATCAGGAATGTCCGAGTGGTCCCTGGCGGTCACACCCACCGTCTGACCATCCTGGACTGAGAAGGACAGGAAGACGGGGGTCACTGTCCTGCTCAGTTTGGGACGAGAGCGACTGCGACCAGCTGCTGGTCTGGAGACTCTGCTTCGATTCGTGTCGGGCAATTCCGAGGGCTCTCCCTGACTCGGCTGAGTCGTTCCGCACACCGCACGCACACACACGCACGCACACAGATCCAACTCAGTGCCCAACAGCACTTGTCGGGCCGATCCTGAACCACGTTGTCTTCACGGTGAAGCTGTGCAGCCCGTACCACTGGTCTGACTCTCTGAGGGTCTCGGCACCTAAATTCAATCCATCAGAAGGGGCCTCACTGACCGTGACCTTCTCCCACGTCTCCCAAATGTTTCTGGTAACAGACCTCTACTCAAAGAGGTTGCTGTTTCCAATACAAGAAACAAGTTCACTCGAACGGTTGTTTATCAGTCCCTGTTGTCGGGGTTACGCCAGGCTCTGGAGGCTGCATGTTCAAGTCATAATATAATGGAACTGACCCATGGCTACCAAAGTGTTACAAACTGACTGTGACCCCAGTCAGACTGATACGATCTCATGAGAAACGAAACGGCAACTGGAGGGCTCTGCCCAGAAACAGTGAAGCTCGGCCGGGACCGAGAGCACAGCGCCTTTGGCTGCACCTTCACACTCACAGGACAGGAAAGCGGAGGGGACACGGCGGGGCACACGGACTCTCCCTTGTCTTCTGTACGGGAGGAAGCACTTGGCCTTGAACTGAGATGTTTATGTGGTCATGGGTATCATGCTAACAAACTTGAATCATAGTACTCAAGAACTACAGATCAATGGAAATTTCTGAGTAGTCATTTCAGGAATTTATTCTTTCCCCTAAATTGAATATTCCTTTTGGGGGCAGAATTTTTAATTAAGAACTTCACTAATGACTATTTCAAGCATGTTTGTGTATAGAGGAATGAAAATATTCTGAAGCCTGGATCACATTTAACACCAGATTACACTGGTCTGATTTTGTTGCTGGCTGGAAACAAGATCACAACATTTGAAAAGTTGTACTGCAGACAAAAATAAAAATAATTTCTGAAAATGAAAGTCAGCCTATTCACTTTTATATGATTTTGAAAAACAGTAGTCAAATTCTGTGAGCTCTCCTTTTTAACAATACATGTTATAGGAATATATACTCTTATAATTCATAAAACAACATAGAGAGTTAGGTTGGGTATTGGCTCAGTCACTTTTTTCCAACTTATTTTTATTTAAACAAGACATCTGAGGTACAGAGAAGTCAGTTTGCCTGAGATCAAACCGCTACTTGGTGGTCTGCTGAAAACTCCGCTCCCTTTTAAAGCGTTTAAAAAACACATTACCTTGGGCAAGGAGTAAAAACAAATAAATAAAAGAGCAGGCATGGCTAACAAATTGCATTTCTGCAAATTCATGTTCCGAATCCCAGGAACCAGGAAAATCAACGCTGAGAGGAGTTCTCGGTGGAGAGCGCGGCACGTGAAGAAGAACCTCAGAACCTTCATCTGAGCGCGTGGAGCGCGGGCCGAGGGCGGGGGACCCGGGGGAAAGGGCCTGGAGAACGGGGCAGCGTCCACTGCAAAGTGAGGTCCTCCCCAGCACAGAGTCCAGCGGGCGGCGCAGGAGGCCTAAGGCAACAGCAGGCTTCCTGTGGGGGGCACGGCGCACCCCCGGGGGGCCCCTGGCCACCGCACGCTCCGCAGAGGCTTCTAACTGTTGTCAGAGTGACTTCAGTGGCTGGGTTCTACGTAATTCTAAAGGGAGCACACTAAGAACCAGCAAGAAAATTAAGAATATGGGACTTTTTAATTTTGTCCTTTCAAATGTCATGCTCTGAATATTTTTGCTGCATTTTGGAACAGGAATGAAAATCTCTAATGATAAATTCCAAATTACTGAAGCCCACAGTACCAGGCTACCGTGAAGCTGTGGTCCATCAACTGCAAATCTGCCAGATTTCCTGATTAGAGATTTTCCTGCTAGAGATTTTGTACAAACTCTATCATAAGGAATTAGAACTTACTTAGTTCGTTGTCCCCCTCAATCCCCAAAGACACCCTGCATTTCCACGTGACTGCTTAACTACTCAATACTTGTATTTTTAAATATGATGAGCACACAGCCATTTTATAATGGTGTGAGGCCATTTTATATTTGATATATTAAATGAGCTCTATTAAGAATAAAACTTATCATGAGCTCCAGTAAACATAGAAATGTTTTCTTTTTTAAAGTTCTTAAACTGATAAGACAAAAAAGAAAGAAAAGAAAGAGAGGGAATGAAGGAAAGAAAGAAAAAAGAAGGAAGGAAGGAAGGAGGGACAACTTTTGTGGAGAGGCCGAGATTCCGAGTGTCCACTGAGCAGTTCTTGGGGAAGGTGACTTACAATTTCGTCTCTCAGTGTCCATGTTATTCCTGACACAGCTACTTAATTATTTTCATGATAGATTTTCTTACATGGGGTGACTTTTCTGTCACGTGAGCCAGTGAACTTTGGTGACTTTCCTCCGAGGCTCAGCTTCTTCATTTTCATAATTGGATAAAATCGTGTATTTGGCAGGATTAGTCTAGGGATTAAAGGAGATGTCCTATTTTTTGAAAAGCCATTTATTATCCACAGGAAGGCAGCTGGCCAGGGTGGCGTCCCTCCCACTGTCCTTTTCACTGGCTTTAATGTACTTGTCCTGAAGCCAGGGTTTCCTGGGTGGAGAGCTAACCAACTCGGACTG